CTGTTTGGTCTTCTTTGTGCTTCTTGTATTTGTATGGGCATGTCTTTTTTTAATTTTGGAAAATTTTTCTTCCATGATTCTGTTGAAGATCTGGTCCATGCCATTATCTTGGGATTCTTCTCCTTCCTGTATGCCTATGATTCCTAAGTTTGGTCTTTTTATGGTGTCACACAATTCCTGCATATTCCATTCTTGTGATTTCTTAAATTTTTATAATCTTTGCTTGAGTGGTCTTGTTCATCCACTTTATCGTCCAGTGTTGGTACTCTGTTTTCCATTTAATCCATCCTAATTGGCTTACTGAGTGTTTCACTTCCTTCTTCATTTCAGCCTAAGTATTCTTCAATATTTCTAACTCTTTTCTGAATTTATTCAGAAGTTTATCCCTATCTTCCTTCAGCTCTTTGATTACCTTGTTTGTGTGTTCTTTAAATTCACTGAATTCTTTTATCATATTCATCATTGTTCTTTTGAGATCCATGTCCTGCATTGTCTCTAGAGGATTCTCATTGTGCTCCTCTAGAGGATTACTGGTATGGTGTTTGGTGGGGATATGTTATTTTGGTTTTTCATGTTATTTTTCTCTGTTATTTTGACATGTGGATTTCTTTTGTAGTTTCTGATTCTTGTGTGAGATTCAAGCCTTCAAGTTTAGGTCTGCTTTTTTTTTGTGAACTTTATACATCTTTGTGGTTTACGTTTTGGGCATGAAAAGCTGATTTGTGTAAGCTTCCGGTTCTCTCTTTTGATTTTATATTGGAGTGGCCAGATTTCTTTTGTCTTCAGGAGTTCCCACAGAGGCCCAAGTCAGATGAGGATCAGATGCTCTCAGGCTTTCTCCTAAGTTCTGGATCCCTCCAGGATTTTGGCCTCGGGAATTTGGGGGTTGGGCTGGCCTGGGAGCCGGGCCCAGGAAAGATGCTGGTGTAGGACAGCTGGTGGCCATTCCTCCCAGAGATGCAAAGGCAGATGGAGACAGGAAGTGGCCCCAAGAGCTCTTGGGGACTGCACTGAGGAGCTGGGTTGGTCCAGGGAAGAGGCCTTTTGGTTGAAGCAGTTTCTTGTATTTTTATTCCTAGTTTTATTACATTGTAATCAAGTTGAACCCAGGAAATCGCTTCAGTTTACTTGTATTTGTTGAGACTTGCTTTGTATCCTAAATGTGATATATTTTAGAGAAAATTTCATGGGCTGCTGAGAACTTGTATAGGTGGAATCTTCTGTAGGTGTCTATTAAGTCTTTGATACATAATATCATTTAGCTCTGATGTCTGTTTTGTCTTTTGTCTGGATGACCTGTCTATTGGTAAGAATGTGATATTGAAGTCACTGTTACTGTGTTAAGGGCAGTCTATGTCAGTAGTGCTTGTTCTATTAAATTTGTAGTGCTTGTTCTATTAAATTTGGTGTACCATTGCTCAGCTCATAATTTTTAGAATTATAATGTTCTCTTGATGGATTATTCCATAAATCAGTATTAAATAACCTTCTTTAAACTCTTTGTGTTAATTTGGGTTTGAAGTCTTTTTTGTCCAGTATTAATGAATATATTTGTGAAATCTCCATTTGCTTGGAAAGCCTTTTTCCATCCTTTCACCATAAGCTGTGTTGAAACACAATGTGTTTCAATGTGTTTATGTTTATAAATATTTAGTCTTTAGATACTTTCTACTTTGTGTTGATATAGAAAGGTTAATTTTAAATTTTAAAATAAATTCTATTTATTTGTAGCTAAATAGTAAGCATCAATTTCTTAAAATTATAAGACAGCCAAGAAATAATGATTTGGCTTGCTCAGTTTGAAATGAATGCTGTAGTACAAAAGTAAACTGATGCAGATTTTTTGATGAGTATCCCACAAAGCCTGTCTTGAAGAAATCTCTGAGTATTGTTAGTTATGGACCACCTATCCAGGATTACTTCTTTTCTACTTGGTGCTGTTGGTGCAGATATGAAATTAGGAAAGAGTTGGTATAAAGGGAAAGAAAAATTAATTGCCTGATAGAATTGATTCAACTAATCAGCTTACTTATGAGTAAAAGAAAGACTTGGAGTTAGACACCACAATACGTTCTTCTATTAGAACTATAACATTTTTATGGAAAAACTTACATTCTTATAATTAATAATACTGAAACAATGGCATGTTCTTCCCCAGATTGAGAGAACTGTTACAGCAGAGTATGAACTAGAATATCTACTACTTGAAGGACATTGCTTTGATATGACAACAGAGCAACCTCCTCAGGGTCTACAGTTCACACTGGGCACAAAAAGCAAACCTGTTTTGGTCGATACAATAGTGATGGCCAATCTTGTAAGTATTCTAAATATTTAACTGATACTATTTAACATTTTTGTAAAATCTGTAAATATCTAATAGTTAATATAGAATAATCTTTACTATTATTGAACAGCTCATAGAAAATAAAATTGAATCTTTTTAAAAGCTATTCTACTTTTTTTGCATTTTATGTGTATGAACATATTGCCTGAATGTATGTAAGTGTACCTGTGTCGTACAATACCCGTGGAGGTTAGAAGAGGGCATCATGTATCCCTAGAACTGTAGTTATTGATGGTTGTTAGCTGCCATGTGGGTGCTCAACCCCAGGTCCTCTGCAAGAGCAGCCAGTGCTCATAACAAATGAGCAATCTCTTCATCCCCCAAGTTAAATCATTTTTAGATTTATTTTCATTTATGTGTGTCTATGAGGATGTATACCATGAGTACAAGTGCCCATAGAAGGCAGAAGAGGGTGTTGCATCCCCTGGAGCTGAAGTTACAAGTAGTTGTGAGCCACCCAATGTAGGTGCTGGGAACCCAACTCTAATCCTCTACAAGAACAGCAAGATCTCTTAACCATGAAGCCATCTCTCCAATCCCCCCAAATATGAATCTTCAAATAAAATAAGTACTTCTAAAAATGGGCAGAATTGGGACTGGAGAGATCCCTCAGCAGTTAAGAGCACTGACTGCTCTTGCAGAGGACCCAGTTCAATTCCCAGCACCCACATAGTGGCTAACAACCACCCATAACTCCAGTTCCACATGATCTGAGGCCTTCTTCTGACCTACACAGGCATTGCACAACACGGGTACACTTACACACATGCAGGCAATACACTCATACTTATAAAATAATAAATAAAATATTTTTAAATGGGTAGAATTAAATCAGGCTTGGTAAATCCCATGTCAAAAAAAGGAAAAAAATCATACTTTTAAATATGCTTTTACTGGAGCTGGAGAGATGGCTTAGCAGTTAAGAGTACTGGGTTTGATTCCCAACACACACAGGGCAGCTAACAACTGCCTGTAACTCCAGTTCTAGGGGAATCTGACACTCTTCTGACCTCCATGAGTATTGCACAACATAGGTTCATATATATA